TGACTAGCTCTTTAATAGATGAGGAAATGGCTGTTTTTCTGTAATAAATGAGTTCCAGCTATGTATTTATATTTGACATGTTTAAGGTTCTTATATGGTAATTATAACTCAAAATAAATTTCAAGGTGTCTTAATGCATAAAGAAACTTAGTAACTATTAGCTGTTCCAAATGAGGGTCGTTATTTACTTTTCCTCTAAATATATTCAGTGGGAGCAATTATTATGTAGATTAATATTTTATATTCACTAAAATTTGCATTTCAAAAGCAAACACTTCATTAACTATGGGAGATATTTCAAAATCATGAATATTGATGAATTTAAAAATAATTTTCATTGTTGCATTTTTCAACATTCTTTAATTTACTGAAAAATATTATCATGCAAATTTATAAAATATGATATAAACAGTAACTTTATAATAAAATATACTTATTATATTAATATGCATAATAGCTAAAGTATTTTAATTATCTCACTTAACATCATTTCCAAAAGTATATGCATGAGTGTAAGACTGAAACTATAATAACAGACCCCCAAATATATTGATACTCTATTTTAGAAGTAAACCATATATACAATAAAAGTACTGTCACTTAGCCTGAAATTCATTTCTCAGTAGTCTACAAAGTATTTGACAGTACCACTATACTACAGACAACACAGAAAATATGGTATTTATTTACATAAAAATTCAGGTTGATCAAATTGATTGATTGTTTTCTGACATAACTGCTACCCTTGCAGAACTGTATTTGATGACCCAGAAGATGCTGTTTTTGTAAGATCTTTGAAGAGGTCAGTGATGACTCTGACCTCCATGAACTGGGACACAGTTCCTACACAAGAGGAAAAGTACCTTCAGGAGGAAGGCACGGAAACTGCTCAGATGCTCACAGTAACACTGAGATAATCCCTGGCATTTCCAGAAATCCTACTAGTGTTCAGTTGTATATTAAACTTCCCTGTGACTTAGCATATTATGTACATATTTTGCTATGGTTTGAATCTTTTTTAAAAATTTTTCTTTCTTTCTTGTGGTACTAGGGATCGAACTCAGGGCCTTACGCTTACAAGGCAGTCATGGTGCCACTGAGCTAAATCTCTGGCCCTGGTTTGAATCTTTTAAAACATTCAGAGAAATATAAAAAAATTATTGTAGTGTTGGATTTATAAGGTATTTGTTGAAATCGAACATATATATAGAAATGTATGCAGATCGTATGTGTTCATTTTAACACATTTTCAAAAACTGAACAGGGTCATCTGTTCATGACCAAGAAACAGAACATTAGCAGCACTGATTCCTGTTGCTGGCCACTTCCCTTCCAAAATAATCACCAACATGATTCTGGACAATAAATTAATCATGTCTAACGGTAAAAGGCATCATAGAATAGATTAATATTTTGTTTGGCTTGTTTAACTCAATATTGTGAGATGTATCCATGTTCTTGCTAGTAGCAATAATTCTGTCATTCTGAGTGCTGAATAGTGTTCTACAATTTATATTTACCTGAAGTAGGTACTGTTTTTGCTTACCCCTGGAGACATTTGTCAGTTCTGCGTGTGGACTAGTATCTGCACTTGGCCTACCAAGACACTGAATGCCAAGGGAAAAAGGGAACCAGATAAGCTTTTGGCAATTACCTGGTTCTGAGGGGAAAACAGACACTTAAGGTAACTCAAACTCCTTGCTGGTCCCCCCAACTAAGGGGCTGGGCTAAATGTTGACACAAGGCAGAGTGACATTTCTCCCTACTCCATCTGTGCTTGGGGAGCACAGACACACTGTAAAAGTGGGACTGACAACAAAATAGGCAAGAGATGAAATCTTAGAAAGCATACAATATAACTAATCAACCACCAAGAATCAGTAACCTCTTTCACCTGTGGGCACTTAGGATCCATACACAGCCAGAGTCTAAAACCTCAGGTATGGCCCCTGGCAGGAAGCTGCATTAGGATAATGAAAAAGCAATGATCTCACATTTATGTGAGGGTGCCTGAGATCAAGCAAAGTGACTGAGTGGACTGTAAGATTAGGTGATAGAATCCACACATTCCCTTTCTCTGCATCCTGAGTCACTAACTTTGCCATGTAGTAACAACACTCAAGCAATCCTAGGGAGAGAGAAAGGTCCATATTCTGGGGAACCGAAGCAAAGAAGGAACTCCAGCTTTGTGTCGACTGCTAGTTAAACTTTAGACAGATGACTGCAGCCCTGGCTGAAAGCCTCCCTGTACTCTCATGACAAACAAACCCCATACCAGCACCACTAGGTTAAGCTGCTCCTCAGTTTCTGGGTTGCAGAAACTGTATAAGGCATATTGATTTTCATTAATAACTTTGAGGGAGATTTGTTACACAGCAATAGAAAGCCAGCACACAACTGACTGATGCTGTAATTAGACTGCAATGAATTAAGGATGAAATAATCCTTAGTAACAGCATTGTGGTCTTTGATAGTTTTACTTCTATGATCACTGAAAAGAATGACAAATTTGATAATGTGAAAAAATATCTAAAAAATTTTACCTCATTTTAGAGAACTAATGGAACTAATGCCCCACTTGCATGAAGAAAAAGATTTGCTTTAAAATGTGTTCTTCAGTACAGGATGTTTTTATTCAATAATGAATACCTGAGTGGCTAAGATTGGAAAGCATATTAAATATCATTTTAGGGGAAACATAAACTAGAAAAAGTGACCCATAAAGTTAGCTGAAAGTCTTCCAAAATATAACACATTTTATTGAGAACGTTTTTAATTATGTTCTTTGCTTTACATGACAGAGACACACTCGAACTGGCTCAAGTGAAAGCATATTTATTTCAGAACCCAACCAGAGATCTCATCCCTAGAAAACAAAATCCTAGTATACACAGGCATAGAAAGTTTGGCTAAAGTCTGGGGTTCTGGAGTCAGGCAAACCTAGCTTACCTTTTATTAGCTGTCACCTTTTAATTACCTCTATTAGTTGTTACTAAAAGTTTACCATTCTACGCTTCAATTTCCTCTTATTAAACAATGGTGACCTGACAAGTCTCAAGGATTAAAATATATATAACATGCAAGACAGAGTGGCTTTCTTGAATATTTGATGTATGCTAGCTATTACATATATCATATTCTAAGGTAACTGTGCCCCTCAGGAACTGTACTTGGCATGTGGATTGAATGTTGAGACCCCCTCCATATTCACATATAAAAATCTAATTACTACTTGAGATCCTAGGGAGGCAACTGGGTCATGAGAATAGGGTCCTCTCTAATAGGATCAGTCCCTTGTAAGAGATGAGAGAGCTGGTCTATCTCCTTCAATGTGAGGACACAACCAGATGGTCCTCCATGACTTGGGAAGATTCACCAAGGAACCCAATCCTCTGGCTCCCGCATCTTGGACTTCTGGCCTGGAACTGATAAGTTTTTATTGTGTAAACCTAGTGTATGGTCACATGTAATAGCAAATCAAACTGATCAAAATGCCTGATGTATTAGGGTTCACCAGAGAAATAGAACTCATAGCTATATGTATGCAAATACAGATTTATTTCAAGGAATCGGCTCATGTCATTGTGTGGACTGGTGACTTCCATTTTTGGGTTAGGCTACTTTCTTCCATCCTGCTGATTCTTCTCTTCCTTACATTTAGCCACCTCTGTCCAAGCCCTATACATATACTTTCTCACACACTCTGTCACTATGAGAAATTTCAGTGTTAAGAGTGATCTGAGGAGGAATTCAATGAGTGACTTCATTTGAACTAATCCATTATGCCAAGACTCCCATGGCAAAATAAATTTATTCATCAAAGTACCTCTTCTATATAGTGAGAAACATTCATTTTTAGGTGTTAAGAGTTGTCCCAGGCCTCCCTCTCCCACAAACATGTTTTTTACCTGAGTTCTCCGGTTTGTAATGATTTTGCATGTGTATGTCACCAGCATGCTTCTCCTTTTGCTCATCCTATTTTCTGCCATGCTGGGCTGGTAGGATGCCTAGGGACCCTAGGATCCAGATGATGACACTTGGTGAGCTCTCTGGGAGTTCTTTTTTGCCTTATATATTTCAGTTTTGGAGATGGACTAGCCTGCAACATGGAAACACTAACATCTATGGACAATAAAAAGTTCCAGTCTGCTAGCTCCCTGTAGCTTTCAAGATCAAGACTGCAACATCAACTAATACCCGAGTATGATTCAGCAAACTCAAGTGAGAGTTCTAGTCATTCTGACCTGCAACTGTAGATATTAAAATAATATTTACTTTCTTCTCCATTATTTGCTAAGGTTCCCTTTATTTGTTACATTCTCTTACATGCTGCCTCCTAACACCAAATTACGAGACAAGATGATTTGTTTATATTAATAGGCGAGTTATTTAAAAATCAATACAAGAAACAATGAAACACAGCACAATCTTCAGACATCACACTCAAGCTCTATTTAAATATCACATATGCTAAAAACAGGGCAGGACATTCTCGAAATGAGTTATAAATCACAGTTTCTGGACAGGAAGAGTCTCATAAAAAGCTGGCAGGAAGATAAAACCCTTTCAGATAGACTTATGGCGCATCGTTTTATAAGAATTGTGTATATAGTATGTATAGCCAATATTTAATCAAAAATGTACAGGAGTGTCTTTTCTAATGTACATGTGGGAACAGCCCTAGCTACCATATGCCTTAGTTCCTTCCATGGGAGCTGACATTTCTCAAGGTACAAATACTACAGAGAACTTTGTTGCAGGAACTACATAAAGTTCAGGCTGCTCAGGATAATTTCTATATAAAACTATACTTAGCTGAAGCTATAGCAAAGATCTTTTTTAACACATACCCTATCTTCAATTCATTACATCTGAATAAGTATAATTTCACTATTATAAATGCTATTATATGCATTTTATTCACATATGTTATGATTTTTTAATGATTCATTTCTGTGGCCATAAAAATTTTTCTTTCCTGAAAAATCTCCTCTTTCACATCTCTTCTTCTTGTTTTGTTCTCTGGAGTCTATTTCTTTCTTGCAGGACATTTATTTTCCTTTGAGAACAACTGCTGGGGAACCAGCCTAAGAAAGGGAACAGAAATGTTTTTCCTGTATTTTGAAAGAAAACATTTTTCTATAGAAATACTTGTCCAATTATAGAACAGAAATCAATAGGAAATCAGGGCACAGCAGGTAGGGCTTTGCTTGAAAGCCTCTATTCTACGAAATGCATAATCCCACCATGGTGCCATGCATGTGTCGCGGGGCAATGAGGACAGTCAGATGCGTTCTCCAGGTGCCTGCCACGGTGAAGACCATGCACGCTGGCATTTGCTGGGCTTCTACTCCTCAGACACCTGTGGGCCTGCAGGAGCATCCTGTCCACTTTCCAGCCCAGCTTCACTTCCAGGAGACTCTTTCTCCCCTTCGACAGCATCTTTAGGACTGGAATGCTCTTGGGAGATACTCATTTCAGCCTCTGGTTGCTCATTAGGACAGTTCGAGTCGATGTCCGATTTGCCATCTGATAAAAAGAGAAAGAAAAAGTAGGTATTCTTACAATGTGCCAGACACTCTTATGTTTTGTATGTAACTCATGTAATTCTGTATCATGTCAGGTGGATTATCATCAGTTTTACAAATGGGGAAAGTGTGTGTAATGCTTTGCTCCAAGATTCACATCTTGTGAAACAGCAAAATGAGCACTGAACTCTGGACTCAGGACTTTGGTCCAAAGCCAGCCCTCTAAATCAAGATTACTGTTTGGGACTTGAAAAAAAATCTGTGTTTGAATATAGCTCTCCTTTCAATTAGCCTGGTGCCCTTGTGTAGTAGGTAACTGCCTGTGTTGTTTCCTTACCTATATTGCCTATAAAATGGCATCAGTAGTAGAGCCTGCTCTACATTTTGAAGGAAATGGTGTTTATAATGTTCAGGATGGTGTGTGGTATGTGGCTGAGGTGTCACTGGGAGTTGCCCTTCTGACAATCTTATTCTTTCTTTCCTCCTCAGGTTGTTCACCCCAGTGATTCCTTGGTCTCCAGAAAATATTCCTAGGGGTGCGGATTTGGCTCAGCGGTGCAGCGCCTGCCTCACAAGCTCAAGGTCCTGAGTTTGATCCCCAGTACCGCAAAATTTAAAAAAAAAAAATTCAGTTCCTATGTGCTCAGTGTTAATATCATCTATTTCTCCAGTGCACCAGGACCTGTAGGCTTCAGCAGGGACCCTGGCGGCCCCTTCCCCATGCTCAGTCGGTGGAACTATATACACACCATTTTCCTCTGGACTCTTTCCTTTGCCAGCCTCCAACTGTTGCTTCTCATAAACATCCTTCAGATTCTTACAGATTTTCTTATGTGCAAACCAGTGTGTTTTTTGGCAAGTTTGATCACAATATATCACCTGAAAACAATCATAAATTTATTTTCATTTCAAGAACTTCAGTTGCAGATTTGCCAACTCTGACAGTAAGCCAAGAATAATGTTATAAAAATGTTAAGATTTCCATACTTATAAACCATGATGTGTGGCTGTGCACTGATTTGGATTTTCAAGTTTTAGCTCATTCTTCAAATCAATAACATATATATAACAAAACAGTCTACCAAGGGCTTGAATAAATGCCTTTGATTCTCTTATGTACCAGATTGGATCAGTAAGATGATGAGCAAGACAGAGATGACCTGTAGGAAATAAGTGTAGAGAAAGACGAGGATGGGATAGAACAGAGGGAGGCAGATATCTACCAATATGCCTTATTTATTTTGCAGTACTGGAATTAAACCCAGAGCCTCATGCAGCCTAGGAGAATCCGCTACCACCGAGCCATATCCTTAGCCCTTTTTATGTTTTATTCTAAGACACAGTCTCACTAAGTTACACAGGCTGGTCTTGAACTTGCAAGCCTCCTACCTCAGGCTCTCAATCAGCTGGTATTACACGACGGCACCACTGCACCTGGCTAACAGTACAAATGTCAGCCTTGGTACTAGCAGCACTATGGATAACACCATTTGTACTATGAATCAGATTTAGGAGCAATGGGCAAATGGGAGGAAGCAATGACTCACTTTAGCTGGGGGAGTTAGAATAGGCAGAGAAAAAAGAACGAGGCATTCCAGGTAGAGGGAACATCTTACACAAAATACAGGAATAGAAACGTGAATGATATGGACAAGGAGAACAATGAGCTTATATAATAAATGAATTTATATTTTTGCAAGTGGATGTGGTAAAAAGATGGGAATAAAACTCCTTAAAACACATGCCACGCCCTAGGCGAGGTTATGGATTCTATCACTGGCTCCAGCTCTTCACACGTGGATGCGTTCACACGCTTTCCCATGTGAATTCAGTGTTTTGAACTGAATAGATGTGACTTTGGATTTGGCTGCCTGATGTGATAGCAACAGAATGCGGTGGCCCGTGGTTTCACAGTGAGGCCTCATGTTCCTGTGCATTTTTAGCTGTCGACTTGTACCTCTGCCACTGTCCTGCTGCCTGAGCTGAGGCCAGCCAAGTACGAATGGAGAAAGAGTAAGAGACCACTTTCAGCACAGGTTTGACAGTGTTTTCACAGGTCACAGTAGTTAACCAACACAGATACTCTCATTTAGTTCTCACAACTCTAGCCCCATTTCCCACAGGAGGAAACTGAGGTCCAGAGAGAGGAGAAATGAAAAGGGAAATAGCAGCAGAAGTCCATTATGGCAGATTGTGATGGGTTTCACTCATGTTCAAGAATTTCAACCTTAAAATCAATAAGAGATTAATGCTACCTGTGGAATTAAGTGCATGTACAGATTCAGTGCAATATCTGGACATGAGAAGATGAACACAATCACACATGCCATTTACAAAAATAATTCTGGCAGAGTAGGCAGTGTAATGTCTAGGAAATAGAGTTTAGTGCCATTCATAAGTTGTCTTAAAAGGCAGAGCTGATGAGGCTATAGTTAACAAAGTCAACATCAAAAGAACTGACTATGTATCTATGAATTGTCCTAAACTACATTTTCCTACCTCTCCCAGTTTTAGTCCTCTGGCTCTCTAATCTCTCTCTGTTTTCGCATATTCATCAAGTACCCTTTCTTCCTGTAGAGTAGACACAAGCTGAGTGGTATGGCTTAGATGTAAAATGCCCCTCCAAAATCTCATGTGTGGAAGGTGACTGGATCATGGGGCATCACATTCATCAGTGGATTAATCTATTGGTAACTTCCGTAACTGACTGCACTATCAGAAGGCGGAGGCCAGCTCGAGGTGCGTCACTGGGGGCATGACATGAATGTACGTGTTCTTGTCCCTGGCTCCTCCTTTCCCTCTTCTTCCTGCGCCATGTGATGAACAGCATTCCTCTGCCGTGCCATTCTACTATGCCATTTCTGCCTTGAACCTGCCGGCCATGGACTGAACCCACAACAACTGTGAGGCAAAATAAACTTCCCCTCCTTTAAGCTGTGGATGTTGGGTATTTTGTCCCAGCAACAGGAAAGTGACTAACACACTGAGAGTCTGGCAGAAGACACAGAACTACATTTATCCTACTGTTCTCTTTTAAATTACCTTTTTAGTATTACATGCAATACTTTCATGTATTAGAATTTATTTAAAAATCTAATAGACTTTATGTTTACAGAACATTACTAAATTGTCAGGCTGCATGCGATCTTAACTAGGTGACAGTGAAACATGAACCCCATTCTTACCATTTTGCAAACTGAACATCTTTTACTTGCCCCCTTTTCTCCACAGGTGGTACAAAATTCAACATCCACAAACCCCACCTGCCCAGTGATGGCCTGGGTCAGTACAGAGAATGCAGTGGGATCTGAACCCTAGAGCAGAAAAGAAGAAAAAAACTCTCTGAAATCACCATGGAAGTCCACAGAGATGTCATCCAGTGTACATAATGTTGTCTAGAAACAGCAAAATTTTCTGAGAATTGATATCAAGACAATATTCATGTAATTGTGGGACAATTATACAGCATATCAAAGTAATTTACTAACTTAATTTGTAGAAATTGGATGCAATTTGTGTTTTAAAGACTATGTATTTTAAATTATTTACTGGATATTAGTCTATAATTCAAAGTTAAATTATAATTCTCATCACTGAAATTTTCCCTTTCAATAAACATACATTTAAATTGATCAAAGTATTAAGACAAATCAACCAAGTGAAAACTATTATTACATAGCTATTGAAATTAGAATGTTATTAACGAAAATTCATAAAATTTTAATGAAGAAAATTATAAGGGAAAATAGCTACCTGAGGCAGTGCTATTTAAACCTATCTGGAGTAAGCTAAAATAATTATGGAATATCTATTTTTCTTATCTACTCTTAACAGTTCTTTGTTCCAAGTTTTTCAAATTTACACATTCATTCCCAACCAAAATTTTGTCATTTTCCAATTTTTCATTTTCATTTGTCTTTGCTTCTTTTTCCTAATACTTATTTTTATATTAACTTACTAACACAGACAATAGGAAATATCATGTAGGAATAATATTCTATAAACTCAAAGTAGTCAAAGAAAATACTCAAAAGATTCAAGAAGTAAAATTCATTCTGAAACTATCATGTTCCTGAATACATGTGATGATAGTGACAATAACATTAACTTTTCATGTGAAAGTGCTTAGGACTCTCTTTGAGACTGAATATAATGTACTGATGAAGAAAATGAGGTGGAGTGCAGAGAGTAATCATTTCATCAGGAACGAAGGTCTACAGCAGTTGTGCTCAGAGAACCTGCTAAAAGCTCAAATCCAACCCTTCAGCCCATTATCTTCTAAAATGGAGGGCCAGTGATTTAGCTCAGTGGTTCCGCTGCCTGACTCACAAGTGCAAGGACCTGAGTTCAATCCCCAGTACCAAAGAAATAAATAAATAAAACAAAGTGGAATAGTTAAGGGAGTAGACCAGCTTGCAGTTACCAACATTCTCAGGGAATTCTGAGATGCATTAAAAGTTTGAGAATTACTGGTACTTCACATTACATTAAATGCTCATAAATCTGTATTACTGCCTCAAAAGTAGTAACCGGATCAGGCAAGAGTCTGGCCAATCAATCAATACAATATGATACATCTGACAGATATCACACAGTTATATTCTCACATTCAAAGATTTTTCACAGAATTGCCTGAGACGTGTTTAAAATCTTTCCCAATACAGGGTGTTTGTGGGAGAGTCATGCAACACATCAACTTTTATTTTTTTCAGTGTTGAGGAGAGAAGCCAAGGCCTCCCTTGTGCTAAGCAAGTACTCAGCCACTTGGCTACACCCCAGCCCTGAAGCTGAAACTAAAGGATATTTTGTAGGACCACAGTGTTCATGTGAACTCTCACTTCAGAAAAAAACTTAGCAGTGGTACAGATGAGTAACCACACAGAAACCGCTTTGTCCCTGTTGTGTGGTAAGAACTTTCTTGTTATACAGTCAGAATGTTTCGGTGCCAGAGCTGCTTCTCATGGAAGATACTCAGCCTGGAAACAAACAGAATGCTTTATTGAATGTATGCTGTCAAATCAGGAAAATGAGCTACTCTCCTGAAACTCCAAATGCATACTGACAGCAGATAAAGCAAAACATCTTGAATGGCATAATATTACAATGAAGTACATTTCCTGAACTCCTCCTTCATCACACTTCCTGCTGAAGTTTTTGACAGTCATAAGCTAGAGTCCCACACCAGGCAGAGACAATCAAAACCTGCACACAGGAAGCAGCAGAGCAGATCCTCAGAGCCCTGAGAACTTTGTGTCAGACAAAGAGCAGCACACTTCAGTGGCCTAAAAACCTACAGTGCACAAAAGCTTCCAGGCAGCAAGCAGTGGCCAGCCAGGACACTCAACTATAAGCACTCAAGGTGATTTCCAGAGAGTACAAAGTATACTCTTAATGAACAGAGTTTTTAGAAGAGAAGTCTTTCTAAACCACATTGCCTACTATCTTAACTTTATTATAAGCCTTTTCTTGATGACTTGATCACTAAGATAAACATTAGTCATTATACCCTATGAACCTTACCATTATTCTATCATGTGGGGCTAAGATGAATTGCTCACCCTTACAATGACCTGCTTTGATTGTTTCTGAGAACTCCAGGCTGCTATTTTTAGTATGTGCCACAAAGGTGGCACAAGAGCTACCACTTGTGAGTGCTGGAAACCCCCGGAGCAGGCACTGCTAGCTGCCTCTCTAATGGCCACCCCACTTCCTCACTAGCAGAAGCATTTCTCTCTGAGCAGCAGTGAGTAAACCAAAAACACTCATTTTCCCAGGTCCTGTGCAGCTGAGAGCAGTCAGCTGAAAAGAGACAGACGGGGTCTGCGAGAGCTTTTATTTTACAGAGAGAGACCCTTTTGTTCTTCTTGCCTGCACAGGATGGGCATGTGAGACTAGAGGGGTTGTCAAGTGCCTGTAACCACGCTGTCACACACTAGACTAAAAAAACCTACATGGCAAAGGAATACTGGGTGAAAAGATGGGAAAATGTGTTGATCCCTAATCCATTCTGAAACAGTATTGTAGACCTGATTGCTCTACCTTTGTGTGTTTGGGTATATGTTGAATATATAGACCCTCGTCTATTTAATTGACAGTTGGGAGTTTGTTATGTGTAGCCAAACCATATTTACAGTTGACAAATCACTCATATTTTGCTACCTTCCTACACAGGGAAATACTGTTTATTAAGGCGAGAGCTACAAAGCTGTAAGAAGCTCATGAGAGGAGAAATGGACAGGAAGAAACAGGATCAGCAGGTAAATCTATCCCCACTTTCTTCCTCAGTATTTTCTGAAGAAACTCAAAGAGGACTTATCTGTAACAGTACAACGTATGGTAATTAAGTCTCACTGACAGAGTTATCTTAAGAGGAGCCTTACAATTTCAACAGGAGCAATGCTTCGCACCAGCTGCTGGAGGAGCGTGGCTTCACAGTAAGGAAATTTTCTGATGCTTTCTCTAATGATCTTTTCTTGATATACTGGAAAGCCATCAGAAACTCGGCCTTTTAACAAGCTGAAAGATATTTTTAAAGAGTAATTGAAGTTGATGCGCTACACCCAACAGCTTTCGCAAGTTTCTTTTTTGTTACTTAAGATTTTTTTTTCATTGAGTCTTCAAATGATGACTCAATCTAAAATTCTGTTCGCACTGAAGTTAGGGTAGACCTTATCAGGTTTCTAGGCCCTGAGATACACAGGCAAAGGCGATCCCCATATCCCCATTGTGAAAAGCTGAATGCTGTTATCAGATTAACTAGTTACTTATTAGCATTTCTGTTATTTGTAGGAAGAATGAAAAGTCTCTTTGGGTCACACCCTTCTACTTTAGTTCCTTTTTCTCAGTAAGCTACAAGAGAGTTTGATCTCTATTGGTCAGAGGACAAGGCTTAAATACAGCTCTCCCAGGTACCATAAGAGAGCTCCATTAAAATGGTTTTATGAGTCCTGAGCAGCAACCTGCACCATGGCCCCCTTAATCTCCTATCTGGCCTGTGGCCACTTTCCAACTGTGTGATTTTACACGTTCTAGTTAATCTCTCCAAGTCTCAAGATTCCTCCTGTATAAATCAGAGGTAATAACTCAAAATCACTATACAGAGTACCAACTGAGTAACATCTCAGTCAAATACAATGTCTTCCCTGGATTCTTGCAGACTATATGTGATTCCATCAATATCAATTGCTGTTACAACACTTTATTTTTTAAATCCGTAATTAGGCATAACAAAACATTGTCTACTTGAGTGTACTGTGTACTTGACATGGTAGAAGCAGTACCTTTTGATTAGGGCATCCAGTTTATTCTCTCCATCTTTTAAGAAGGTGATGCATTTCTGAAAGACACAGCTGATATAATGCATTTTCATAGCCAAGACTTCATTCATATCTCTTTGTTTCATACATTTCTCACAAATCAGATCCATCACCTTGTAGCATTTATTCAGGGCAGCTTCTTCTGCTAGCAGAGGATTCTCATTTACAAGCATCACAATCTAAAAGAAAGTCCAGTAAACTTAGATTTTCCATGACAGACTTTTACAAATTAGGTAGTTGATTTAGTTGATTTCAAGAGATCACCAAATAATGCTTTTCTTAGGATCATACACTTATTGTGCTAACTCAAATTAGAAGACACTGCCAGTGACCAAAGTGATAAAACTAATGCAGAAGAATTCTGATTGAAGAAATTTCTTGCTGTCAAAGTTAAATGTGATTCATCTAAATAGGGTATAAATTATGCCACACAGCATAAAAGGCTTTACTGTCTCTACAAAAGAGAACTGGCATGTGTGCACAGCCTTTACGTATGAAGCAAATAGCACCTTTTAATTGAAATTATTAAGCTCTCTAATTTCATGGCTAAGTCAACTATCATTCTCATTATTATTAATTATAAGGAAATGAGATTTTTACAAAAAGAAGTCTAGAAATAAAATGTGTTTAACTTCCCAATTAACTACTTTTCTCTGTGGAAATTTTCTTGAAGATGCTTCCAATTACATACAGTAATGGTGAGAACAGGTCAACCAGAAACCATGAATAGTCTTAGAAAGAGGAATAGTAGACAATTATCAAATCATACACACTGCAAGTCCCACATATCTTATGAATACACAGATTAATTTAGCGTAATGAGGAGTATTTTTTATTGGTTTTGTAATAGGGCAGATTACTTGAAGTTGGTCTTCACAGGACTGTCACAGAAGTCCCTCGTACCATGAAACTATTATAAACGTGTGTAACGTGGACACAACGGTACGTGCAGAGCACTCAGTACTCCTAACCTTCATGCTGTGTTATAGCTAAATATCTGTCCAGGGACTGCAAATGTCAGGAAATGGGTAGAGGAGTTCATGAATTTCATGCTTCTCTTCAGGCATAAAGAAAGATCATCTGTTGGCTAAAGTAAAACCCATGGCTGGACTCCTACTTGGAAATGGAACACAGATTGGCTGTCCATCAAAAATTAAGAGGGTTCTTTCTCTGGTGTGAAAAAACTGCAAGTGTATATAAGGTTCAAATGGTATAATTGAGAGTGTAAAATAGGAAGAAAATGGCTAAAGGGGAAGTGGGAAGGGGAAGGGAAAGGAAATAAAGAAAAAAATATGAAAAAAGGAAAAAAATGGAAACAAAGTCTTTGTAAATAGGGAAGGGTGAAGGGGGTGAAGGGAGGACAGGGGAATGGGGAAAAAGCAAAAACCAAGACATATCATGTAAAGGTACAAGATCCCAATGATAAATGTAACTATATTGTTTGCTTTAAATGTGCCGATAAACTTAATGGGGGGAAAATAAGGGAACTCATTTATTAATGACAGTTAGATTTATATATAATTTTCCTAAAAATCCACCACATAATAATGATTTCATAGACTCGAAATAAATACAATCTTTATTAGTGAATTTGTTGATGACTTACTCCCCCTACCAAAATGTACATCAAAAATCATTTCATAGCAGAGAAGACTCATTAATAATCTCTTACACGTCTGTTAACTGAAGCAATTTAAAGTTGGTCAATATTTTCATATAAGACATTTATAATCAGAGATAAATTCTTACATGTGAGAGTATTTTTTTTAAAAATCTCAAATACAATTCAAATTAATGATTTCTTTTTGAGATACTAGACCTTATTTATTTTATAATATAAAGCAAATATTTACAAAGAGAAAGATAACCGCAGCATTACTGAGTTTACTGAAGTATATTCCTACCTGCTCACGAGGACTATTTGTACTAGTTTTCTTCCTTTCATCTCTGCAGGATTATGAAGTAATATAAAAGAAATCCTTATTAAATATCAGAGAAAATATTGCTTCTGCTATCAAAACTGTATGAATCTTATCTCTTAAAGAACTGCTGCCTTAGGAAAAGTTCAGACAGTAGCATTTTCAATTATTGTATTTTAAATCTTTTTTTTTAAGTGGTGCTATAGGTCAAACCCAGGGTCTCATGTATGCTAGCTATACCTCTAGTCCCAAATCCCATTACAGTATTTAAATTGGTAAATCAATAATTCTGAGCTTAAAAGTTGTCTTAATAATCAAAGACAAGATTATCCGGTGCACACCTGTCTTCTTTCTACTGAGAGGCTCAAATCTGCTGCCATTCCCCCACCCCCCGAGGATTCTGTTTTTCTCCTAGATAACCTTTATTTTCTGGGCATCAACAGAACTCCCCAAGTCCCTTTTGAAAACATCGTCATTGCTATAGCAGCCACTGAACCTAGACACAAATACAGCTATGTTAGATGCCAGCTAGTGAAAGGGAGTGTTGTATACTGGGTCAAACCTTTGTACTTATTTTTAAAGGTGTTTCACTTTATGCAGGGTCTATTTGTTACTATTTTAAAATAATATTCCCTATAAAGAACAATGCTAGAAAAAAAAAAAAGAACCATGTTAGTTTAAAAAGGGGTACAGCAATGGAAATGGGCCATCACAAAAGCTATTGCGCAGCTTTTATAGCCAAAGAATGGATAAAAGAAAGTGTTTAAAGTAAACAGAATGACCTTTGCAATTCACTGCCTGTACAAATATGTCCTTAATCTAATTTACTTAAAAGATATGCCTTTAAAGATAACTAAGGATGGAATAATTCTAAGGATACCATACCCTGAGAAACTGGGTTCCACAGAACCATCAAAAATTATTCCAGAAACTTACTGCAGCCCGAAGGCATAGCGAGGTAGAATCAGAAAAATACAAATAACTTTCAAATCAATCTAAACTAGAATATCCTAGACTGTTCGGGCCAAGGTGGAACGAGGAGGGCCTTTTAACCCACACTCACTCTCTGTACCACACTGGACTCCTAGGAAAAGCCTGTCTCGGGTCTTTCCAGGCCGGCTCAAGCCCCGGCGCCCTGGGTAAGCAGCCCTGGGAACTCCTCGAAGCCCTCTGTTCCCCACATGTGTTGGGAAAGAGAGAACTAAATCTTTTTTAAAGGTGCACTGTCAGTTTTATTTTGCTCAGATTTTTTTTTTCTCTATCTCTTTGTTGCTGTTTGTCACATGACTTGATGAAAAAAAATACAGCAGTGAAGATGGTTTCAGGATAGCTCTGGAAGTTTCCCTTAAGCAACTCGAATTTATACGTAGGTCTGAAGGTTTGATGGTCTGATCTGACTAGCTGCGGACAGAACTGTGTCACATGAAGGCATCAAAGCATTTATTAGAAATGTGTTCACAATCCCAGGTCAGAGTATTTCCCGGGAGGCTCGTGCTCCCAGCAGACATTGACAGTGGTTCACTCAGCTTCCCTACACCAGGCCTGCCCATCAGGCCCCAGCTGCTCACACTGAGTGCTGGCTTTTATGGGCTCAGGGTGGTCTCCTTCTCAGGAGAACTGTCCTCATTCCAGGAGGCCACCTCACTTCGCCCCCTGAGAAAGAGACCCTGACAAATGACAGACAGATGGGTGCGGAAGCCCAACTCCCTCGCCTCTCAGCCAGCCCCATGCCTGTGGGGTGAGGGCAGGCGGGGCCAGGCCTCTTCTCCTGCTCCTCCCCATTTCCCTCACCATCCCCAAGGCTTTGGCTGGGAGCACCCCTTCACTGACCCCTTCAACGAACAAGAGAGCTCCACACACTCTAGGCCTACAAAATGCAACCCGAGACAACCGTGACACAGGGTAGGAGTGGTTCAAACTCCAAAGCAATACTGAAACGAAAGGCAAGTGTGACAAACACTGCACTACCTTGACAGGATGAAGATTTGTCGTGGTGATGATTTTGTGCAGTGGGCCAGCCAACTTCGGGGGCAATTTGGGGTCTTTATCCAGCCCCTGGGGCTTTGTGTAATAATCCAGTCTCTCTCGAGGGAAGAAATTGTTGATTATTGTCACACAATCATGTTGACCTTTCAATAGAAAAACAGAAATGTAGTAGTTCATTGTTAACAAGACATTGTCTGGATTTTTTTTTTTATGTTGCTATTTTCATATGAATTAAACAGGCAAATAATGTCTTTATTCTTCAGAAAAGAGAAGCAGAGGATGAGGAGGAGTTAAAGAATACTGATAACCATTTGAAACTAAAAGAATCACCTTTTAAAGACATATATTCTAGCCAGCTGTGGTGTAGGCCTATAATCCCATTATCCTGGGAGGCTGAGGCAGGAGGACTGCAAGTTCAAGCCCCAGCTGAGCAATTTAGCAACAAAAAGAAATGCTGTCACAAAGTAAGAAATTTAAAAAGGAATGGGAATGTAGCACGATGAGAAAGCCCTGGTTTAATCCTCAGCACCATGCATGTGCACACACACACACACACACACACACACACACACACACACACACACACACACACACACACACACACACACACACACACACACACACCCCACAGAATACATTAATATATATGAAGAATATTTCAATTTTTAAAAAGCCTTGTTCAAATTACAGAGCCCAAAAGTATTTTATAATTGATTATAATTTAACTCTTCTTCCACCCTATAAAAATAATAATCATGCTTCCCTAAATCACAGCCACGTGTATTTACACATAATTTAAATATGTACTGTGCAAAGTAGCTTTATTATAATATTAATAGTTTTAAATATCCCCTCCCCCGAATTTGAGGAAAGCTTGGCTGTTCTGTGAAAGGAATTACAGAAAAAGCTCTAGCTCCTTAAGCTTGAACTCTTCGCGATGGCTTCTCACCCACCTCTCAGCCACTTCTCTGGGCATCCCTCATTCTGGGAATGGCTTACAGGAGACCCCTCCCAGCATAGGCGTGGCCTGGAATCTTGGCAGTGGCTCTGGCTGCCTCCCCTCCCAAATTCTCCTCCACCCGCTCTGCAGCTGAAAGGCGGCCACCCAGAGCCAGCAGGCAGGACCCATGGGGTGCACGCCTGGGCTCTTTGAACACTTTTGGAGACTTTCTCTTCTCTGCCTATCTGGGGTCAAGCGACCGGTGACGCCTGGGGACAACACCGTGGCTCTCACTCCCCGAGACCCGTCCACCTTGGGCAGCCCACGAGACCCCAGCCCACCTGCACATGATACAGGGAGTGCCCCTCAATGCTGCGGACAACAGGTGATCAGCACTAAAACCTCTGAAACAGCCAAAATAAACCCTTCTTCCTTGATTTATGTGGCATATCTGTCATAGTGATGAAAAGTTGAAAAACGCAGCAGCCTACTCATCTGAGAAGATCCTGCAACCAAAACCTAGATGAGGTCAGAGATCTCAAGAGTGACAGCACAAAGAGGACAGTGGAGGGTCACAGAGTGACTACAAAATCATATTGTTGACAGGCTTACTGGAAGCAAAGCAACATGCTGTCAATGACATTCTAGTAACAACCGTACTAAAAATACAAAGTTCACAGTTAGAAATGAGACTAGGTTTGAGGTAGTGGAAGAAGCAGAGAAAGAAAAGCCTGCAGCCTGAGAAGGCAAAAGCAGAGGAAGTAGAAAAATGAATTATGAGGGTTCCATCTTCTCACAGATTGCTAAACAGACAGTGCCTTGGGGACTGGGGTTGAGGTACAGATCTGACCAAGCAAACCACTTTAATACACACACACACACACATACACACACACACAAAATTACTGAGGAAAAATAAAGACTGCAACTGAATATATGAGTAATTATATTAATTATGCATAATCTATCTGCTAAAGGAGACTATCATTTGGCTTATAATACAAAATTCACTTATATAAGTTATACTACTAAAATGATTAAGATTAAAAGAAATAGGAGGGCAAAAGCTCTTTTTTTGCATTTATAACATGCATAAAAAGATTGATTACATTTTTTGAATGACAAAAATCTTGTACATTTGTGTACATGCTATGCATATACTGATCCACTTGATGGAACAAACAAGAATGACTTTTAAAAGGCTAATTATATGGAAAACATAATTTCAATGGGAAGGTTGCAATGTAATTTTCCAGCTATGAAATTAGTCTAAATACTTTAAAATATTATGAAAACATTACTTTTATTTTAGAATAGGGCACTTTAGAATGTGATCACTTTCTGCCCTAGATGTCTGTTAATACTTTAAAAGAAAAAAGAAAAAGAAAGAAAAGAAAATAGCAGCAGGTTCATTGAAAGAACAAGCTCTTTTGTTTCCAGAACTGTGACCTTGGGGAAGTTAACCTATACCTGAGATCTATTTTGTTTTTTCATAGATGGAACAGAAAACTGTAAAGTTAAGTAAACTTTTGGAACTCACTTAATTTTCCTGCTTCGTTGCACAGAGAACAAAAAACTGAGGCCCATGGAAGTGAGGGACTTTTCTCAGAATTCTAATTAGGAGGAAACATGAACTATGATACAAATCTACAAATTCCTAGTTTACGGTTCTTTTCCCAGTGCACTGACACCCTCAAAGGAACTCACAAGTTGGTTGGAGGTAACTGTGAGGTCCCTAACTGGGAGATAAAATATTTTTTCTTGAGCACAGCAAGGCCATATCTTTCTCAAATCCTCCTGAAATTAAATGAAAATACAATGAGAATATATGTTTTCACAAAGCTGACTGACTGGGCATTGGGCAACATCAATAGTAGCTACTATCAGTTTCAAGAAAATTTAATAATGAAATTGAAAATGATGTACAGTTACCATTGTGTATACTTGGCTATTTCCAACTGTATGTCTAATTTCTCTTAAGAACCAGGTGGAAAGGAGAGAAGATCCCCCTTCATTGTTATTTGCCTCTAAATGCCATGAAAGTTTGAACAACATCTTCTTCACCACTGTGACCAACTGACCTAGAGGGATACTTGGTACATAGGTTGTGAACAATAAGAAACTGTTTAATAAATTATTGGTTCCTGCAAGCACACTTACAGCACTTCCAATAAGTCCGATGTTTCTATCATCTTTTTTCCCCTTTGGTTTATTGAGACAGGGTCTTGCCATATAGTACAGGCTCATCTTGAACTCAGCTGTGTAGTCCAGGCCGGCCTCACAGCAATCCTCTTGCTTCAGCCTCTCAAGTTCTGGGATTACAGGCATGCCCCACCACGCCCGGCAGTCTGTCTTTGCCTTTCCATCAGAGGACTCTAAACTGCCAGTTCAATGAGTTCAAATTATCAATGATCAAGTGTTCACTCTCACTTTCGCCTATACCTCTACAGTATGTCAATAGGATTCAGATGCCAGGAATTAGTAGGCAACACAAAAATAAATGTGTGTGGTTGACAAATACAATAATGAAGCAACTGAGTATTATTATCAAATGTACCCTCTAAGAGAGAATTTGGTTGCTGATGCCATTATTATTAATGACAGTAACTGACTCTTTTTTGTTTAGTGCTATATATAAAGCCCTTTAATTCTGTCATGTCTATTGATCCTTGACACAATCTTATAATTCTACAGTGAGGAAAGTGAGAATCATTAAGTACCTTGCTACTAAGTGGCACAGCTAGAATTTCAACTCCAGATTGCTGACTCCACAGTTCATGTTCTTAAAAATTAGGTTAATCTACTTCCATGAGAGACAGAATATACTCTTCAAAGCACATGACTGCAATCACAATGGCCCTTCCAATCTTGAAATCTCACAAAGTGGAAATTCAGAATAGCTATTCACATTTTCTGGAGTGTCACTAGGCATTTTACTACATTATTCAGAGTAGATTGCACCTGTTTATTTAAAAAAAATAAATGTGACCTTCTTTACAATCTGAGAAGTAGTATTTTTTTTTTCAGAAAGGAAACTTTGTAAAAACCCTAATGTAACACTGCAGCAAAAGCTCACCCACGAAGGCTGCCATCTGAGCTGCAGTTCTTCCTACAGAGTTGACAACATCTGTCTCTGCCCCGGCTTCCAGCACTGCCCATGTGATGTCTTTGTTACCTAGAGTTAAGGGAACAGATTTGTCAATATTAAGGAAAAGCACAAATTAAACACCTCCTTCAAATTAATGACAACCCTTTTAGGTCTATCATATAAATATTTTCATTTTTTCCAAACTACAAACCATAATTATAGTAAAAAGAAAAATTTGACAGAAACTACTGTACATAAAAATCCTATTTTCAGCAAAACACAGGGGCACATGCCTATAACCCAGCACTCTGGAAGGCTGGGGCAGGAGGATCACAACTTTGAGCCTAGCCTGAACAACTTAGCAAGATTCTGTCTCAAAATAGAATATTAAAGGGGTGGGTAGTGTTCCGGGGTGTAGGGGATGCAGCTCAGTGGTAAATCCCTCATTTCAACTGCACTTCTATAAACAAACATTACTGGAAAACAAATCAGACAATATGAACATGGTATAGAATTGAATATCGCTTTTTAAAAGGAAAATGTGTTCTTAATGGTGCTTCGTATAAAACCAAACATACAAAAATATCAAAGAAACAAAGACAGAACAGAAAAATCTGAATAAAGTCTTCTTTTAAGGTCCACTAACATTTCATCCCTGACACCCACAGGCTCTGGAATAGCTATTAATCATTGGGGTCCTGTCCTCATACAAGCTTTTTCTCTCAATGTCTCCTAGTTACACTCCATCACTGAATGAAATCATTGCAGGTATTTTGCTATTATAAACTACATTCACTGAAAAGCATTGTCCATTTAGTTTTGCAAGTTTGAAGCATGATACCCTTGGCAACAGTTCCTAGAGATCACACCTGGGTTGAAGTCCAGGCATATTTTAAATGCATTGTGCCTAGCAAGGTTGACCTGAAATCCATTCCCCAAAACAGTGCAAAAAAGTTACTAGCCTCTGCCAATATAATCAGTGTAAATGATATTACCAACCTAAATTTCTTTGTTATTGCTGAAAATGGTTTATACGTTGATCAGCCAGTTACATTATTTGTTCTCTAATTTTCTATTGCAGTTCTTGTCTTCTAATTTTGTATAGGAACTTTCTACATATAGCAATATGACCCTATAAGACATGTAATAAATTCCTTCATTTTTCATTTGTATTTTAATTGTTTACGATGTATCCCATATATGACAAGATTAAAATTGTAGGTAAATAAATGGGTCAGTGTTGTCATTTTTGGATTCTATATTTTATATATAATTTTAGGAAATGCTTGTGTTCCACGGTTATAAAAATATAGGTTGTTCTTTTAAAATATGATTACTATATTATGGCTATATTTTCTTAAAGAACTACAATAATCAGCCAACCCTATAAATCTGAGATGGTATTTCTCAAGTAATAAAGATGAGTAGGACTAAGATTCTAAATGTATCTTCATGTTAAGTGCAAAAGTTCCAGGGAGGTAAACAGCTCTCTCACAGCAGCTGTTTGATCAAGAAAACAACGCAGTGTCCAGATTATCTCAAAATCTAAAGACATAAATCAAAGGAGCTACCTGACAGAATGGATCCAGCTCCTCTATTCTACCAACATATTATCCACATAAAGAACTAACTGATTTAAGTCACTAAAGAAACATCACCACATTAACTATAAAATTATTCCATATATTGTATCTTTGAAAAAACCAATTCTCAACCAGGCATGGTGGTGAATGCCTGCAAACACACTACTTGGGAGGCTGAGGCAGGTGGACTGCCATGAATTCAAGACCAGCCTGGGCTACACAGTGAGTTTAAAGACAGCCTGGACTACATACCGAAACCCTGGCTCAAAAAACAAAAATAAACCCCACCAACTCTCACCATTTCCATAAAACTTTTAAAATTACTGAAATAAAAATGTGTTTAATTAAAAAATTTATATATGTTCTTAAGTTTGTGTAGGTAGCTAGTGTCAGCAAAGTAAAGCTAAAACTTCACCAGAAAGTGCAGCAAACATTAGGGCTGTGTATCCATGTTCGTGCTGGTGACAGTTCACATCGGCTCCATGTCGTAAAAGCAATTTGCACATGTCAAGCTTGCCTTTATACGCTGCATGCATTAGAGGAGTCATGCCATTCTAACGAAAGAAAGGAAAAATATATTGATTTTACCCATTTACTTTTTCCTTACCTATGAACATAAACACATATTAATAAAAACCAACTTCACAATCTCTATTTTTATATTCACCCCCGGCCTGCCCCAATCTTTTGTAGACTTCTAAGGAAAAGAGATGGTTGGTTTATTTATTGTATCAGGATTCGAACTTGGGGCCTTGCATTTGCTAGGCAGGAACTGTGCTGCTGAGCTATATCCCTGGCCCTAAGAGATGGTTTTACTACCTGAAGGTTTTGTTTTGTTTTTACCAATTGCCATGAAAATATTACACATTACAGATTACACATCAGAGAGGATGGGTTCAATCTCACAGCACTGCGATATTAGTGGGTCATAACCCAGACTTCCCCAGGTTTTAATCTCTACAAAATACATTTACCTCCTGGGGAAAGAAATGAACAGATACAAACACAGAAAAAAACAACAACAAAACTTGAAATAAAATGCCTGTCAAGGGGAAAGTTGAGTGAAGAACAGTGTAACCATTATAACACTTAAATAAATGAATTCATTTGAAGTAGAAAACTTCCTATAAATTATTGCCAATAAAAGTAGATACAGAAAATGTTTACTACACAGGTATCTTTTTTAAAAAAATCCTCAGAATCATATGTATATTTTGATTACATCATAAATATATGATTATATATTTATGATTCTGTAACTATGGAGTTGACAGTATTCACACTAGGCTGCATTGTTTGTTCTCCATATATTTCACATGTAACAAGAAAATATCCAACTTAATATGTGCTGAACACCTAAGAATATTGGGCAGATAAATGAATGAGTGTTTCTATAAGTGATCTTCTCAGTAACCCCAGCTAAACTTTGTAAGTGCTTACAGCCAAAGTTGTTTGTGATGAAAACCCAATGAGTGCTAGCAAAATTTAAATTATTCTTGATGATTCCACATTATCATTATGAATATTAAGCCATCATCTTAACACAATGCCATTCTCTTCTTAACAGGTTGCTGACGTGAAAATTACAGGGAGGTTCGATCTTTCAGGTGAGGAGCAGCAGCAATAGGAGGCTATAACCTTAAAACTCTTATCTGGGAATTTCTACAGGAATGACGTATTTATTGTGGCAGAAGTGGGTGGGTCAGTGGTGGTAATCAGAACCCCACTGCGCACAGGCAGCATACATGGGAGTGCTTTAGGGAGAAGCAATGACCTTCTCGGTCACTGGCTTTCGACTAAAGTAGAACAGATGGGGGAATGAAGTAACCAACCTTTGACATAAAAGGACGCTGTAAACTAGGGGCGGTAGCAAAGAACTATAGCAAAAGCCACTAGAAAGAAGCAACCAGCTGTTTTCCTCATATATTTCCGGAACCCGACCTGCATCAAGCAGTACTTACTGTTCAGGCTGCCCTCAACGGGTGGGCAACCATCTAGCAATCCCATCCTGCAACTGCAGGTTACCCGGCTCGCAGAATGAATACCCCAGAAACTGCACAAGTGCTCTGTTGTTTAAAAACAAAGAAACAGAAAGCCCTCAGGAGGATAATGTGACAGTCTGCTTGGGAGCTAAGGCAAGGTGCAAAGCACTGGGGTCTTACACTGCAAATTGCACTTGTTTTCTTGTCTGCTTGGGCTCTGTGTGCTTAGTCGCTTCTACTCCTTTATCAGTCAGCCTCTGTTTGCCTTTGTTTACCACCCTTATTTTAAGATTCTCCCTGCTTGTGTTCTTTCTCATTTACCAGCAGGAATTGCACTTTAGAGTCAACTGGTGAGAGCACTTCTTTCCAAAAGGGTGAAGAGTTATCTCAGTGACCATTTGCTGTGTAGTCTCGGAACCTGCTGTTTTGTCATTGCTCTCACAGCAATTTCAGCGCTGTGCTAGACATTCCTAGGTAGCAGAAACCAATCTTTTGGTAACATGTAGACAGGTTTTTCAAAGAACTGGATATCGCATATACTTTCTTTTTTTTTTTTTTCATTTTCATTTATTCTGTGCAGTTTAAAGTAAAAGTTAAAACCTACAAACCAGAAACTGTAGATATACTACCAACCAATTTTGAAAACAATGAATGATCATTGGTGCACATTCCTTATCTTTAATTTTACATCTTGTTATTCAAAGGTACTATGAACACACAGTTCTAATTCCTTACAAACTGTTAAGCAGCAAAAGTACAGGGCATCACAAGACAGCACAGAAGGCTTCCTTTAAGAAACCATGGTGTTTATTATGCACAGAGCTGACTTGCAGCTAATGTTAAACATTCCTCATAACACATGCAGTACATGTACACAACAAATGGAATATGTAACTTTAATTAATATAAAAGGTTACTCTTTATGATTCAAGTTTAGAACTCTGGGACACTTTTAAAAGCAAACAATATAAAGATTCTAGATTGCATAACTGAACATTATTCTTTTAGTTGTCTGAGAGTCTATAAACTTTGAGGACTGTTCATTAGCTTTTTAAAGTCAACTTCAAATATAAAAGCACTTAGTTTATCAGACAAAATCTAGTTCATTGACTATGTATTACATAAAATATACTTTTTAAGAACTGATTTTAAAAAGACTATCATTGATGTACAATAACTTCAAAAATTGTTATTAAGAGGGAAAATGTACTATTCTAAAATCTTTCAACATTTTTTAAGAAAGTGTATTTTGTGAATTCATTACTTTATATATTCCAAAGTTTAGCAAAATATTTTGAAATGGTTCTTAAACCTAGTAACATGTTAAAGAAATGAGTCAGCATGTCTAACACACATTTATTTCCACTGTGAACACCCATCAGGTGAGTTCTGTATTTAACTTTATGTTAATATTTAAAACATCATTTAACAGTGACATAGAAATGCTTAGTGTTTTGGGCATTAACATACAAATAATGCTCCCACACAGGCAAATTTCACAAGAAGTTTCAGGGGCAAAAGATTTGAGGATTGCTGGGTGAGAAAAAAAATGAGACTATCTGAGTCCTCAGTTTTAGAATTACTTCTCAAAAAATGAAATAATTTGATCACCACCATTTTGGGGGAACATTCGGGCAAGATTCTAATATTTATGCATGCTTGTAATGCTCATAATTTTTTAAACTTTAACATCAACCATAGGCTAGCCCACTTTCCACTGAAACTAAAAATGCAACTGAATCACACCTCCTTTCTTATCTTTGTTTAATTTTGTGTTATAAAGATTTAGAACAGTGTAAAAGAAGGTATACATTTTGAGTGCCATGATTACTATACATATTTTGGTTCCAGTACCACCTTTTATGGAAACATTTCAATGGACCAAGAAAAAAAAAGAAGTAATAATATTAATAAATTTTGATGTTCCATAGATATGAAGCCACCCTACTATTAATTTTCTAATCTCTAGTTTTTTCGTAGTATTTCAGTGTATTAGGAAAATAAAATTAACAGTTTGAAACTGAACTGCTAATCTACTGAAAAAGAGAATAATTTCATGTTGAAGTAAATTTGGTAAATTAAATTTAAAATGTTACATTCTAGTTGTAAATGGCATTAACACTATCAGGAAGAAAATGAAAATATAGAATGCTCATCTCTGCTCAAAGTAGGAAAGCAGTGATAAAGTTTCAAAAAATGTTATCCCAATGGAATATAGAATTCATCAATTCTAAGAAACATTCCATTTTTATATTTAAAATCTCTGAAACTGAGTTTCAGTTTCCAATTACTAGAATCTAGTAAATTAAAATAATAAATCTAATAAATTACAATCAGTTGATACCCCTTTCATTGTTCAATATCTCTGAAATCTAAATGAGTCCTTAAATCTATGGCATCTGAGTGCTAATAAAACTTGAGGGTGAAAATTGCCACCTCCTTGTCATTTCTCAAAAACAAACCAAGAAATGTGTTTAGTTGAATTGTACAAAAAGAGCTTCTACAATTTCTTTAAGTGCAATAACCTTAAAAATAACATCTATCTTCTGAAATTCTCAAGTCAAAGCATTCATCAATATTAGGCGATTATGTTACAATTTCTATTAAATACATCATTTACTTATTCAGCAAGTATTACAGAGCACCTAATATACCCCAGACCCAGATCTTGCACTGCAGAAGCAATAAACAAATTCCACATTCCCACATTCTAAGTCCCTGGCACTTAATTTTTAGATATTATGGTTTGAATCTTGAATGTCCCTCAAACCCCACATGCAAAGAGCTTGGCCACTTGGCTGTGAGATGATAGAGCTTTAGGAGGTGAAGCCTAATACAGGAAATTAGGTCATCAAGGATGTGTGCTAAGAGGGGATATTGGGCCCTGGTCCTTCCCCTCTTCCTGCTTTCTTGAGGCAAGAGGCGAACAGCCCTGCTCTTCTTCTCTTCCACCACGATGTTCTGCCTCACCACACACTCCAAGCAATGGCCCCACTGTGGTGGAGGACTGAGTCCTCAGAAACACTGTACCAAAATGAATCTTTCCTCCTCTAAGTGGCTTTTCTCGGGTATTTTGTCACAGCAAGAGAAAGCTGTCTAAGACAATAGGATAACATGGTGGTTAGCGATCTAAGTGCTAGGGGGAAATAACAGAGTATGGGAAACAGGCAGTGCTAGAGGGAAAGTCTGTTTTTAGAAGACATTCAAGGAACTTCCAGCAGAAGAAAGGCCTGTAGGTAGTTATAAATAAGCAGAGAAAGCACGGCCCAGCAGAACTTTTGGGGACAGAAGCATCTGCACTGTGCTCAGGACCCATCAGAGAGGCCAGGTCTGTCCACAGCCACTCAGCATCTCCATGAACACCTGAGAAGTTCCTTGTCTCCATCCTGGGGCTTTTTTAAAAACACTAATGTTTGCGGAAGTTTTCTGTACACTTTGTATCAAGTTACAGAGTCACTCTATCCTTATTTCTTAAAGAGTTGTTTTTTTTTAATAATAATCAGTGATTATTACATTTTTGCAAAGACATGATGGCATCTGTTGAGATGATCATATTTGTTATTTTGTAATATACTGGATCACACTGAAACATTTTCCAGAACCGAACCATCCTAATATTCTTGGAAAAACCTTATTTGGTTGTGCTGTCCTGTAATGTTTGGATATATTGCTGCATTCGTTGGCTAATATTTCATTGAGTACATTTACAAACGTATTTATAAAGTGAAGTGGGTCCCAAGTTTTTGGAGGCCTTTTTCTATGTGGCACTGGCCTTACACAAGCCTTATCATATGATCTGACTGTGGTCCCGTCCTTTTATAATTGGCATGAAATGAGAATGAACTGAGGTTTAAAGTTTCATAAAGCTTACTCATGTTTTCAAATTTTAAGGTGATATTTTTCAATGTTCACACAAACCTTCCTAATCATTCTACGTTTTTACTGTGTTTTATTTTTCTACAAAGTTCATGTGGGTGTTCAAGTGTATTGGTTCTTAAGAAAGAGTTACGACAGTCCTCTGTGTTTTCCCTTTTATTAGTACATGTTTGCAGTACATGATCACACGTACGGTGGAGAGTGTGCACATGTATGTAACATACCTGAATTGTTTCCACCCTTTCCCATTCCTCCTTGCTCCATTCAGCACCTGGTCCCTTTCTCATCCGCAGAAGCTCTACTTCCATTTTCTTCAATTCTCTCCTTTTTTAAAAACAATAACTTTTGCCTTCTTCCCCCTTCCATCTCATTCCCCTTCTCATTTGAAAATGATCTCCCTGCTTCCTACTTTTATTTTGCTTTACATTTGGATTTTGGATTTCTCATGAAGAGAAACCATGTGCTATGTAAACTGCACGTCTCATTTACTTAACGTTAAAGTCTAAGGTGCATCGATTTACCTATGAATGCCTCATTTATCCTTTATGGCAGAATAGTACTCCACTGTGTATAAATACCACATTTGTTTCTTTTTTCTTGGTACCAGGAATCGAACTCGGGTCCCTGTGCTTGCAAAGCAAGCACCAGAACCACTGAGCTATATCTCTGGCCCCCACATTTTCTTTTTCCATTTATCTGTTGAAGGGCATATAGGCTGTTTCTAAGATATAGCTACTATAAATTGTGCTGCTATGAACATGGGTATGCATGTATTACTGTAATATGGTGACTTCAGTTCTTCCAGGAAGATATCTACAAGAACATCTGGGTCAAATGGAATTTCCATTTTTAGTTTTGTTGATCAGCCACACTGATTTCCATAGTGGCTGTACTAGTTGACATTCCCACCAACAATGTAGGATTCCTTTTTCCCTAAAACCTTGCCAGCATGTTATTTGATTACTTTATGGTACCCATTTCTGGAGTAAGATGGCATCTCCACAATGTCTTAATTTGCATTTCCTTAATGGCCAGTGATGTTTATGTATGTACTGGTCATTTGTACTTTTTCTGAGAAGTGTCTATTCATTTCAGTTGCCCATTTTTGATTGGGTCTTTTATATTGAGGGGGATCTAATTTTTTTTTTAGTTCTTCATACATTCTAGATGTTAGTTCTCTGAGGACCAGCTGACAATTTTTTTTCCCATTCTGTAGGTTGTCTCTTCACTTTGTTGTTTCCTTTGTTATGCAGACTTTTTAGTTTGATATGATCTCACTTGTTGATTCTTGGCATTATTTCTGGTACCACTGGAGTACTGTTTAAAAAGTCTTTGCGCATATGATGTGAGAATCCCCTTTATAATTGCAGTTAAGTTTTTCCTTTCTTGCTTTAGGTTTATGTACTCACTAATTTACTTTTGTCCCTTTGGATCTGAAGGTTCATTCATGTTGTACCAAGTATCAGTACAAATTCCTTCTTATGATTGAATATCCTATTGTATAAATATGTCACATTTTTGTTTATCCAGTCAACAGCTGGTAAACATCTGGGTTGTTTCCCAGCTCTAGCTATTATGAATGATGCTGTTATAAATACTCATATGCAAGAGTTTTTTGAATAAGTTTTTACTGCTCTCAAATACAGACCCAGGATTGCCGGTCTTAATCATCTGAAGAATTGCTAGGCTATTTTCTAAAATGGCTATAGCATTTTATAGTCCCACCTACATGGAAGAGCTCTGATTTTTTTCAAATTTCATTAACAAGTGTAACTATGTACCTTTTTTATTATAGCTGTCTTAAATGAATATGAAATGGTATTTTATTGTGGCTTTGATTTACGTTTCCCTGGTGGCTAATGATATTAGGCATTTTTAAAAATGTGTATAGTAACCATCTACCTATCTTCTTTGGGGTAACATTTACTCAGATATTTTGAATATTTATAAATTGGGTCATATGTGCTTTTATTATTGAGTGGTAGAAGTTTTTAATATGTTCTCTTGCTAGAAGTTCCTCATCAGACGTGATTTGTAAAATGTTTCTCCTGTCTGAATCACTTTCTTGATGGTATGCTTGAAAAGACACGTTTTTAATTTTCACGATTTCCAATTTATCTATTTTTTTATTTTGTTGCTTAAATTTGACTTTTAAAAAAATTGTATTTATTTTTTCTAAATAATTTCTTCTGTTTCTTTTTTAGTATACTTTATCCTTTTTATATAATTTCATGAGTTGGAAATCTTGGAAAAACCAAAGATTGAAAGTACAATGATAAATGATACAAAATTTCTTATGAATATTGCTTTTAGCCACCTAACATAGCTTTTGATAAACAGGAGCTTTTGATACATATTGTATTTTCAGTTCTACACAGTGGGCCATTTCTATTTCTTCATTAGCCTAAGAATTATTTAAACTAAAAAATCCCAAATATGTATCTTATATGCAAATTCACCATTGCATTTGAGGAATTTTATATCGACTAAATATTCTGTTAAAATAGTATAATACATAAAATCATTAGCATATAAAAGACCATGTTTCCCATACTTGACAGTAAAGGATATGATCGTGGCTTAATCTGCACTTATTTGACTTCTAATAAGATTAACAAGATTTTGTTTACGAGGCAAACTCAGGAGCTTATGCTTGCAAGGCAGGAATGGCACCACTGAACTACATCCTCAGCCCAAGAAAGGTTAAATGTGCTTTTAGATGCTTAATGATCTTTTGTGACCTGTGTGCTGACATTTGGTTTAGAGATTAGTATAACTAGAACACAAATACTAGAAGACACTTTTTACTGATATATTTTATGTTATATATTCTCATAGGAAGTAAAATACTTTATTAATGTTCTTTATTTTACCTCATCCAAACAGTTGACACGAACGTTCTTACTGGATAATAGAGTTCCAGCTTCTTGGACAGTACCTAAAGGGAAAAGAAAAGATGAAACGTAAGATTATTTATCACTGGAATAGGAAAAAAAATCTAACATCCAGACAATTAACTTTAAAGGGTTATATGAAGCTAAGGCCAATCAGGCCCAGTTGCTAAGAAATAAAGCATCCAATCACACTATTTATTTTACAAAAGAAAACATCCAGAGTAATAGATTTACAGTAACTAAAATAATTCCATTTTGTTTTTACTCACTGACCTTAAATTATATTAAATTGGCCACATTTTCTTTTCGGCAGTAATAAAATAACCACAAAGCATAAGATGTAACACTGAAACCAGTCTAATCCAAATCAGCAGCTAAAGCTAAAATTCCAGTCAATGTAAAACATGGACTCCAAAACTGCAGTTGATATTTATATAATTTGTCAGCACTTGGTCTTGTGAACCGATGGCATGTTTATAGTAGAACGCTTGGTTTGGACTTGTATGTGTGAAACATTTGTGAAGCCTGGTACTATAGAAAAATGTTCCATGGTCAGTATTCAGACCACCATACTGCAAGCGAGCAGTCTTAAACTGGAAGGTCAGTTCTTGGTAAATTTGGAATCAAGCTGTAATTGGGCCATGGTTATCAGGTTTTTCCAGTTTTCTGAGAGGAATAATAGCAGAAGCAGTGATTGCAGGAGAGAACATTGCTATTATCATCATTAATACAAGACAGCTACATGTTCCGCCAAATAATTTCTGGTTTGACTGGGAGGAGAACAATGAAATTGAATGTTCTCAGAGAGAAAGGAGACAAGCCTCTCCTCTGAAGGAACATAAAGGAATAGGAGCAACCCCCAACAAGGTTATTTCTTCCCTCTAGAATCACAGTTTGGGAATAACTGAAATTCTGCTGGTCTTCCAGAGGGAAAGGAGGAGTGTAGAATTTAGATCAGCAAGCTACCTAATCCCTAAGCTGCTTCTTAGGCAAGTTGCCTCTGTGTTCCTCACCAACAGAGAAGGAACAGAAATGTCTCACTGCCAGTACAGGGACCCAGCTCTGTTGGGAAAATGTCAACAGAATGATCTACATGTCCCTGGAGCCTAACAGCAGCTATTTTTGTAAATAGTGCATTTTTCTGACCCTGAAGTCCATCTGAAAGCAGTTGGTATCATTGATTGCATGGCTACAAGGAGACAGGGAGAGGCCTGGGAGCACAGTGGAAGGGCTCATACCACCTCCTCCAAGTCGTGGGTTCAATCCCCAGGGCTGCAATAAAAAGGGAAGAGGGGAGCTTTCAAGTCTGGGAGCAAGTTCTACATCAAACCTTACCTATACTGTGCTTTACACTAGAGACTCTCAAATAGCTTTAGAAAAGAAGTAAAACAGAACAAAAACTTCTGCATCATATTTTTACTTGAGGAGGATGCTTCAGCTAAATCATATCCTCAGCTGAGAATTAAAGTTACTTTCTTTCTCCAGTTTATTCAGTGAAAAGAGAATATTACAGAGATTGTGAACACATCAAGGCCTTTCACATGTTAGGGGGAAGATGAGGACTATAATCATAAACATTCAGCCCTCAGAGAACAGGCAGATAATTCTGTAAAATGTTTGCCCGGTGGCCAACAATCTAATCTGTATGGTCAGAGAACTTGAAAAAAAAGTAGTCATGTTGTAATGCAGGAAAAAAAATGGCTTTTTCTCCTAATAAACTTACTCAGAACTTCATTTCTGATCCCAGATGTAGAGAGATTTTTTTCCCCACACACACATCTCACTATCACTGCTCTTTCTTCTTCCACACTACCGCCCTCCCAGGACTACTATGAACTTCAACAAGATGCACCAAACCCTGGTTCCTCACCTCTGAAACAAAGGTAGTGGGATCCATCCCATAGGGTTATGAGGACGGAAGACCTGCTCTGATGTGGGACGCTGTAAGTCTTCAGTGAATAGTAAATGTTCTTATTTTATATTCAGAACAGTGCAATACAATTCCTTATCATGTTTCTGACACTTGGATTGAGACATGGGTGGCTACCGAAGACAAGCAGATGTCACCAAAACAAATTTAAAGTGAGATAAAAACTTGTGACTTTCTGCTTCTGACATTCCATCAGAAAACGATGAGATTCAGGCATGTATGAACCTTATTTTTGTTTTCTGCAGTGCTGGGGATCAAACCTACTGCCTCAAACATGCTAGGAAAGGGTTCTACCACTGAGCTTCACCCAAGTTTAGATATGTATAAACTTGAATAATTATCTAGATGAATTCCCAAATATGAACACTTCAAGGAATCTATATCCAAGTTACAGATTGGCTGGTGAGTTGTTGTAATGTCAAATAAAATAATGTAAGTGAAAAATGTAAAATAATGTAAAAATATTTAAGGTGCTTTAATTTTAAAAGAGCTATATGTAGACCAGTATAATCACAGATGTAAATCTATAAATATTCTGAAAAAGCAGACATTATAACATGGATTTCAAACAAGTGAATTTGTGTGATGTGCCTTAACATTCTCTCCCTTCAGTTTCTGTGTCTATAAAGTGGAAATTGTCATATTTATTGCAACAACAGGTAACACAGTATTTTAAATGCTTTACTGGTACCAACCCTTTTGTCCTCACAACATTGTGAGGCAGATACTATTATTATTCCCATTTGTCACATGGAGAACTTGAGTTTCCAGAAAAGCAACTTGCACAAGGCCATCTCACCAGTAAATCACTAAGGCAGGATTTCAACCTAGATGTCTATGGTCAATTATCATCCTGTGCTGGATCTCATAATGTTAGAGTTTAAAAATAAGTTCTAGCTCATCAAGATCAAATGCATTAACACATGCAAAGGACTTAGAATTATGCATGTCATAATGACACTCAAGCAACATCAGTTATAGTTATCTTCCTATAAACTCCTACTAACTTTTCTCGAGAAGGCAGTCGTGTCCCACAAACCTTCATTTGCGAAGAATGTGTCACACACTAAAGCCAACTCAGTTCTTTCTGCATTGGCCTGGCCAATTAAAGTAATGTGAGAGCCAGGTTGGTGGCAATGCCAGTAATCCCAGCACTCTTAAGAGGTGAAGGAGGATCAATTGCAAGCTCCAGCCCAGCCTGGGCAACAGTGATTTAGTGGCTCTGCCTCGAGTGTGTGTGGGGGGTGGGGGTGATACACTCAGCGCAAAGCTGCTGTGTTTGATCCCCAGTACCCACAACACAGAAAAAGGAAACAAAACAAAAAAACATCTGCACTTGGGCAACTTGATGCATGATATGAGCCCTGAAGTATCACAGCACTAATGAGTAAATGCACATTTATAATCTTCAGAATAAAACTGGTGGCCACCTCAGACTGTATCCAGGAACTCCCATCTGCCCTTTCAGTGACCTCATTTATAAAACTATTCACTGGTTTTTCATTTCTAAGAGCACCTGTAAAAGCTCTGACCTGTTTAAAATCAGAGTTCTCACCTCTGGTGGGCTGTGAATTTTTTTTTTTTTTTTTTTTTTTTTTTTTTTTTGCCTAGCACAGTACCTAGCACACAGCTGGGACTTGAAAGTTCCTAGAACCGAATCCTTGAGCTATCAAGGGCAGGGAGAAATTATCCAGAGACAGAGAGAACACAAAGTCAGCAGTGCCAAATAGGTCATAGAGCTCCTGGCAGTTCCAACAAAAACCTAACCCAAAGCTCCAAACAACACTTATCATGATAAACCCAACCGTGACAGACGTAATTGTTCAGATGTGATGAAAGGGGCTCAGCTCCAATGATCTGTTGAGTTCAAACCTGATTCTTTTGCTCCTTTACATTTAGACTTTATGGGCTGTGAAGAATAAAGTTGCCTTATGCTATGGGATTCCAGATTTGAGCTTGGCTACTTAGAAGGAAAAAAAAAAAAGGACTCGTGACTGTCAGGCCTCGCGCTGCAGAGTCGGCGGGGTGGGGGCACATGGCTTTCCTCCTCTGGAATCTGAAACCCTGCGATCACGAAGGCAGCCCCACGCATCCTCTTCCCAGCGCAGGTGAAGCACGCGGTCATGCTGATGTCACCTGTCACCTGCCAGGTAACGGGATTCGCCAGGCAACTCCTCCGGGACGTCCGCTCCGGGACAGAGAGGAAAACATATTTCGTGGCTCCCGGGATACCGCCCAGTGCGGCGGAAGTGGGACACGAGCCGGGAGAAAGGAAGAGAAACAGCAACCCTGACCCCGCAGCGGGGCAGCACCGGCCGAGCCGGAGGGTGGGTGTGGACGTCTCCCGCCTTCCAAGCCTCCCGGCAGGTTCCAGCGGCGGCCAGGGCCTCTGGAGCCAAGCAAGCTAGGGACGCCCTGGATGCGAAAACCTCGGTGCTGAAGAACCCCCAGGGCTCCCTCCACCCGGGCGGGGACAGGGACGCGCCAGGGATCCAGTTCTTTGGGCCTCCGGAAGTCGAAAGACACCCGCCTAAGAGCCAGGCAGCAGCAGGCCACGGTCGCCGAGTCACCCGACGAGGAATCCTAACGCACGCGCAGGAGCGCACAGCGGGCGCACTCCCCGGAGTCGGGGGTGGGAGTGGGTACCCGGAGGCCTGCCAACGCCACTCCGAGCACGGGCCTCGAAACCTCCGCTCTCCTCCCTCGCAGGCTCCGCCTCCGCAATGGGTCCGGGACCGAAGGGAGAAACCCTTCCTCCCGGCCCCAACCGTCAACCCCGCAGACCAGGAGCCCTCGGGCTCCGCCACGCTCCCGGCCAGGTGGGCACTGCATGGGTCGCAGCCCCGCACCCTTACCTTTCCCGATGACTTCCAGCAGCTCCTTCTCCTCCTGTGCCAGCTCGCCTTTCTTTATGTGAACCATTGCTCCCGCCAGCTTGAAAATTACTGTTTCTTTGGAAGTGTTAAAAAGGAAACAATGTCTCTCTCTCTCTCTCTCTCCCTC